CTCAACAATGTGATAGCCATTATTTTATTAATAACAAATAACAATTTTGTTTTGTCCTCAGTCTTCCCTAGCAACTGGTATATGTAAAGTAACCACCATCTTTTAGCTCTATAATTGAAACATTGTATCTTTTGGAGCTGTTGCTTCAGGAACTCAGAGGCCGGCGGCGGCAAGGCGGGAACGTTGGTTTCCTCTGTCACTGAAGAAAGCAAGCCTGGTGTTAGTTTTAAGCTGCTTGGCTGCCGGCCGCCATCTTGGCTAACAGTTAATTTGCATATCTCGCTGATTAGCCAATGAAAAGGGTAGCGGTTGTATGCCAATTACCATGTTTCTCTTTTATTAGTGTAGATGATTTTAATGATAGAAATTAGATCCATAACATAGAGTAAATTGGGTAAAGTTTTGTTTATTATATATAGACTGCTTTCTGTGAAGTAAAGTTATTGTTGCATTAATATTGCCTATGTAGGGTGGGGCAAGAATAGGATTATAATTGTGAGTATGGGAAACACAGAGTTCATTCTTGTATTATTTATTACGAGGGGCCCAGTGCATAAATTCGTGTACCTTGAAAGGAACTGTGGGCCATGAGGCTGTGGTGGGCACAGGGGTGAGTATCAGCCCATCCTCTGCGCCCCTGCTCGGCCCCTCCCACTGCAGCCCCCAGTCCCCTGTCTGCTGGCAGCCTCACTACTGCTCCCATGTGTAGACGGTGCCGGCCCCACTGCCACTGACTGATGGGAGGAGCGACTGGGGCTAGCACCGTCAGCAGGATGCGAGTGGTGGCTGCTGCCCAGTCACCCCTCAGGAGCAGAAGGTGGAGAAGCCCTCAGGCGATCGGGGCTGGCAGCCACTGCTCATACCCGCTAACGGTGCTGAGTGATTGGGACTGGCACCAGATGCTGGCAGCAGGTGCGAGCGGTGGCTCAGGTACCGGCTGCAGGTGTGATTGGGGCTGGCGCTGGCAGTGGATGTGAGCAGCGGCTCCAGTGCTAGCAACGGGTGTGAGTGGGGCTGTTGCCAGCAGCCAGTCCATGAGCAGGCCATTCCAGGGAGCACACAGCATTCCAAAGAACTGAGTGATGGCAAAGGCATTTGTGCAAGAGGTGGCTGCCGGCCCCAGTAGCCCCTCAGGAACAGGGGGAGGTGGAGAAACCCTAAAGGACGATCGGAGCCAGCAGCACGTGTGAGCAGGGCCAGCACCAGCAGCAGGTAAGAGCAACAGGTGGGACTGCGGCACAGGAGCAAAGAATTTTCAGTAACCACCAGAGGCTCACTCCGACGACAGCAACTGGCGCCCCGCCTTAGTTTGGTGCCCCTGCTTACCTCCACCATCTGCCATGGCCAATGCTCACCATGTTCTGTGCACACCTCCTGGTGGTCAGCACATCTCTTAGCAACTGGTTGTTTTGTTGTTCTGCCATTTGGCCTATTTGCATATTTGGGTTTTATATAGAGAGATTGTATTATTTTCCATATGAACAACTGTAAACCTACTTTTGCCCCACACTATATATACAAATTCTGTTGGGGGAGTTTAAGCAGGGACAGATGAAAACAATGTCAACTAAAGGAGGGGGAAAAACTGAGTTCTGGTCTCATCTCTGTTGTTTATATCCCTCAAAGACTTGGACAAATGATTTAAATTTTTTGCCTCAGTTTCCCAATCCATAGATGCTTTCTGTTCCTTACTTCCTCATGGGAGTATTGCAAGTATCAAATTGAAGATGTAAGTTATCCTATCTAATAAAAGACAAAAAGGGTAATTGACCGTACCTTTGCTACGCTTCCTATTGGCTAATCAGGGCAATATGCAAATTAACTGCCAAGAAAGATGGTGGTTAATTTGCATACGTAGGCACCAAGCAATGGAGCAAAGCCAGCTGACCCTGGGCAGGGACAGCGAGTGAAGGCCGGCGTGGCGAGCAAAGAGGGAAGCCCGCCGTGCCAGCCTCTGCCACGCCCCCGGGGCCCGAGTGCAGCGAGCAAGGAGCTAAGCCCCTCGCCCGCCGCACAGGCCCCTCCTGGCAAAGAGCAAAGGCCTGGGTTCTGGATGCTGGAGAAAAACTGGTGCCAGCAGCCAGGGGAAGGGGCCTGCGAGGGGCCCCAGACTACAAGAGGGCACGGGCCAGGCTGAGGGACCCACCCGAGTGCACAAGTTTTTGTGCACCAGGCCTCTAGTTATTAATAATAAAGTAAAGAAGCAGAAATCTAATTCCTAACTTTCTCCACCAGTGCTCACTAACTGACCCTGAACAAATCAGTATCTTCTCTTGGGTATCAGGTTTTTTATCTTACAGTAATATAATAGATATACAAATCCCATTCTTGTGGGTTTATTCAGAATCTATTCAGTACATTAAACACCATTAATGTACATATTATACAGTATATATATTAGAAGAACTGAATAATGATTTTAAAGCATTTTGCAAATGCACAGATTCAAAGTAGTTTTATTTGTAGGCTATTTCAATGAAGTACATTTGTCCTTATTGTCTTCGCTCATGATTGAGAATTAGTATTTTGAAATGGCTTTATCACTGATAGTTCCATGAATGCAGAAAGGTTAAAATTGGCTTATTGGGTTGATTGTAATTATTTTATATCATATTGAAAATCCTAATTAAAAGGGGAAAAGGAGAACACAAAATAACTACACTAAAACAAAATAATAATTGACTTTTTTTCCCTCCCTCTTTCAGATACATGGTACATTTGCTGGAGTTGGCAGTGACTTTTATTGAGAGATTAGAAACCCACCTTGAAACAATTAGAAATATTCCTCATTTAGATGGAAATCTAAAGAGAATGGTGAGTATTAACAATAGCATTTAAGTACCTCATCAACTCCTTTTACATTACTTTTAGCTATTTTTTAAAATTGATTTCAGAGAGGAAGGGAGAAGGGGAGAGAGCTAGAAACATCAATGAGAAAGAATCACTGATCTGCCTCCTGCACGCCCCCTACTGGGGATCGAACCCCCAACCCTGGGCATGTTCTCTGGTCAGAATCGAACCCGGGACCCTTCAGTCCACAGGCTGACGCTCTATCCACTGAGCCACACCGGTTAGGGTACTTTTAGCTTTCTTTAGTTCTGTTTTATACCAGAATCTCAAATGTCTGACCTACTTGTTTAATTTTTTTGATGGTTAATATGAGTGATTTATTTTATAAAATCAAGATGCTATTTCTTTTTTTATATTATTTTTCTTTAAAAGTCATTTTACACTCTTTTATTCCAGTACTAGAGGCCCGGTGCATGGCATTTGTGCACTGGAGGGTAGAGGGGGCGTCCCCTCAGCCCAGCCTGTGCCCCCTTGCAGTCTGGGACCCCTCAAGGGATGTCTGCCTGTCGTGGAGGCGGGAAAGGCTTCTGCCACCACGGCTGCACTCAACCAGCCATGATCCCACTTCTGGCTTAGTGGCTCAATCCCTGGTTAGGGCACATACAAGAAAGTCAATCAATGAATACATAAGTGGAACAACAAATTAATATTTCTCTCTCTCTCTCTCTCTCTTTCTTCCTCCCTCCCTGTCTCCCTTCCTCTCTAAAAATCAGTAAATAAAAATTAAAAAAAGAAAGAAAATTAGAAGATCACAGTAGCTTGAGGGAAGAGTGGTACTCCACTTTGGATGACACTTAAAGGTATTGAGAGGGAAATTAACTCAGGGTTAGGTATGGAATGCCTTGAGACTGAGAAGTTTAGACTTGACTGAGTACTGGGGAACTATTGAATTTTTGATTTTTAGAGAAAGGCACAGAGGAGTGACTTGATCAGAACTGTACTTTAATAATGGAGAAAATGTTAAATAGAGTGGACTGAGCCTTGCCACTCAGCGTGGGCAGAGAACATCAGCATAAGCATCACCTGGAAGTTTGTTAGAAATGCAGAATTGCAGATTTCATTCACTTACCTTCACGATCTGAATCTACAATTTAACAAGTTCCTCGGGTGATTCCTATGCACATTAAAGTTTGATAAACTGTGTTAGAGGACTAGTCAAAGAAACTTGGAGAATAAATAAGTTACTCAGATAAAAGATTTACAGCTGAGGAATACAAAGGATTGTGTAGATTTTCATATTTTGAAGGTCTAATTTCTAGAATATGGCTACTTTTTGGAACACATCCAAAGTAATGAAATTTCTATTCTTGCTGACTTGAGGGTGAGTAGGAGGAAAAAATTAAAGAAGTTAATGAGTTTGTTTTTTGTTACGTCTTGCATAGATAGTAAACGTTCAACCTTTGTTGAATTGCAGTTAAATTGAGATTGAATGTATATCCAGATGGAGTTTTCCAACAGATTGAAACATGAGACTGAATTTAGGAAGGAGGTTAGGTTTGACAATATAGATTGAAGGTCATCTGCATCGAGGTGATAATTGAAGACAGGAGTGGTGACTTGAAGAAAAAGTGTGTTTATAAGAAGTGGGAGAGCACAAATTTAAGGCACCTTTGTATTCAGGGGCTGGAATCATAACCAATTTGTCATATAGTAATGATATATTAATGACAGGCATAATTTCTCTCCTATTTTCCCCTTCTTTCAAATGTTACAGAGCAAGGCTTTAGCCAAGATGGATATTTTGGTGACTGAGACAGAAGAACTGGCAGAGAATATACTCAAGTGGCGAGAACAACAAAAGGAAATTTCCTCTTGTATCCCCAAAATATTAGCTGAAGAAAATTATCTTCACAAATGTATTGTAACACCATAACGCCTTCTTTATCTTCTAAAGTTTATGTCCAAACTATTAATGCCAAATGATACAACTTGTTCAATTAAGCAAAAATGATTTCTTTTTGCTTAATTGTATGTAGTCATGTGAAGTCCACTTCTAGTCAGTGATAACTTGGTTATTTATAGGCTTTGCTGCTAGCAATACTGAAAGAGCCCTCTCTATGTTAGAGTTCTAAAATTCCAAGTTCATTAAGACCAAACTAAATTTTCCTTCGTTTTTCATAACACACAATTTTTTTTTTTTGGTTAATCCTCACCTGAGAATATTTCTCCATTGATTTTTAGTGAGAGTAGAAGGGAGGGGGAGAGACAGACAGAAACATCGATGTGAGAGAAACACATCAATTGGTTGCCTCCTGTACATGCCTTGACCAGGGCCAGGAATCAAGCCTGCAACTGAGGTATGTGCCCTTGACCAGAATTGAACCCAGGATCCTTTAGTCTGCAGGCCAATGGCCAATGCTCTATCCACTGTGCCAAACTGGCTAAGGCTCTTTTTCATATATTTTCATTCCACTTTTGAATAAAACTTATGAAGATCAAGTATAACTGTGGCAGTTTATTAACATGAGTGTATTATCTAGATCTCAGGCAGCAGACTCTATATGTCTTTTTTTTTTTTAAATGCTTGTTTCTGAATTAGAAGAGTCTTGAATCTAAATATATGTTGATTATTCCTATGAGATTGTCACTAAATGTGCAAAAAATAGTAACATACTACCTTTTGTAAGGCTTGCTTGCAAGGTGGGTCTGGGAACTTAAATTTCAAGAGGTTTCCCTCCACTCTCAATAATAAGAGTTGTTCTCTGTGATGAAGCTGTTTGTACAGTGTGGTTTGTGCTGAACACCTGCTTTCCTTCTGGAAGTCCAAAATTTTGGTCCGTGCTAGGCAGAAGGTACCTATGTGACTAGCCTGCAGAAATAAGTCTGAGCCTGGCATCTCTTTCATAGTAGACATTGCACAGTGTCACAACTCAGGTGCTGAGGGAATTAAGCACATCCTGCATAACTTCTACTGGCAGAGGACTCTGGAAGCTATCTGTGCCTGGTTTACCCCAGGCTTTGTCCCGTATACCTTTTCCCTTTGCTCTTTTGATTTTATGTTTTTACTGTAATAAATCATAGCCATGAAAACAGTGATATGCTGAGTCCTGTGAATCCTCCAAGCATGTCATCAAACCTGGGTAGTGACGCTGACACATTGAGCAATTCTTGAGGGTGTTCACTGGCAGCCTTAGAAAGAGGCAAGGAAAAAGGCACATTATGGCAGATCTTTCAGAGGTTTACATTATGAGGTACTCAGATATTTTACCTATCTGAGATTATTATGCATATAAAAGGAAGTGGTATACTGATTTACTAATACTAAGCCTCAGGATGTACTCATTTGTGTCAGTACTATAACTATCCCTGGCTTATTTTTATATGTGGGGTTCTCTTTTGCTTTAAAAATGTGTGCATCAGCCTTGGGGTGTGCTACACAGTGTTTTGGGCATCATCCCATGCACCAAAAAGTTGCAGTTGATTCCTCGTCTACTCACACTGGGTCGTTATTTTTATACTGTTACATTCTCTGTATCACGGGGTTGACCGATCCTTATATTCATCACACTCTTCACAGTGGCTGA